TAATTACCATAGTATTGCAGGTAAATTTTATGTAACTTTAAACCAAATACTTACTCTTCCTTTGGACTTTATTGCCATTACATTGTTCAAATCTTTGTGCAAAATACTGTGTGCAAGTCCTGTTAGTTCAGGGGGGGGGGGGGGCAAACGTCGCTTTTTTATGCAGTATTTTCTATCTCCTCACTGCATTTTTGATAGAAAGGAAAGCTCTTTCTCTGCTGGTCATGCAAATATGTTGTTTTGTTTCATGTAGCTTAAGATTTGCTGCAAATGTATTGCACTTTAATTGGACGTTTATTAATGCATTTACTACAAGTGGTGGTATGTCAGTTATGTTTTGTGCATTGAGATCAGCATTACACATAATGCAATGTACTGTTTGGCGCCCAATTGCTTTGAAAGCTTGGGTTAAGCAAAATTTGCAATAGAAGTGGTTGCATTTAGTGGCAACACTTTCAATTGACATAACTTTGTTGCAAATGTTACATTTGTATATTGTTGAAAGGTTGTCATCTGCTAATTGAAATCCATCACTTAAGCTACGTTCACATCAAGCCCGGATTCCGGTCTGGAGTCCGGACCGGAATCCGGGCCCGGTTACGATTTCCGGTTGTGCGTTCACATCGCGTCCGGGGAACAAAGCGTCGGGTTCAAAGGAAGCAACCAAGTGGAACGACGTCAACATAGCTACGGTGATGTCGAGGATGTTCCCTTGCTGTGGAAGGCGTTCAAAATTAGAAGAAAAATGAGAGATCCGAATGGGTCAATTTAATAAACTGAGGAAGACAGACCCCGGGACCAAAAGTGTTGATCGTGCTTCTGAGCCTGACAAATATTTACAATTTCTGTATTTAGGTAGGCCCAGACCCGCCTAACTAGCTAGCTAGGACAGATGTAGACCTGGCCTGGGGGGGCTAGGCCAAACTAGTATTTAGGCCTAGTGTAGGCCTATAGTGTATAAATCCTAGCTTCTTACCTTTTCCTTAGTGTTAAATTCAAATTCAAGTTAAAAAATCATGTTAAATTTAAATATAACACCAGGCGGCGGCAGCCGAGGTGTCGAAGGGGGGCTGTCTCTTATCCACATCTAGATGGACCCCCATGGGACATGTCAAGCCCTCCGACGACCAGTGTTCGTTGGGCAGTCGGACCAAAAAAAAAAGTAGGCCTAATGAAATGAAATGAGTGTTTATTGAGCTGAGTTTATAGATCTTAATTGTACTTTATCAAATACTTAAGAGTATTTTTCCAGTCTGAGAGAGCGCCATTTCTGGATATCCAATGCGTGCCACAGTTATCCTTATCTCACTCAGCCCCTCCCCAAAAAATACATCCTACAGCAGCCACTGTATAACACTTTAGTCCTATCTAAACTACTTTATGTTGACTCTATCATGAACTATAAGCTTACCAAAAAATTGTTATAATGGTATTTATAGCATACCACTAATTTTTTTGGGGAAATAGTTGAAATTTTTGTGAAAGTTGGTATTTTTTACAAGGCAATCATGAAAGAAAAAAAGGAGTATATACTGTCCCTAACAAATTAAGAAAAATTCTGAAAAGAAAGTGCTCATTTGAATCATAATCAAATTTTGATTTACATGTGTCATTAATGTCTGCAAAAACTAATTTATTTTTGCAACATCTCTTATTGACAGTTCTTAACTTTTGTGATCATTATAAATAAGCAATTCAAATTAAAAGTGCAACTATTTGTGAGGAACAGTACATTTTTAATTAAAATAACTAAATCAAAATAACTAAACTAAATCAGAGTAAGCATACAAACAACAATTTTGACATTGTACAACAGATTCTTGTATTTATTAACAATTTCACATTTATATACAAATTGTTCTCGTGGTTAAACCAGATATTATTTGAAACTTACCGACGTTAGCAAACTATGTGGAATTCAAATTTGGAAATATTATTTTAATATTAATATTTACCACTAATTAATAATGTTCACAAGGTTTAACTAACCATATATAAATAATGTAATTAAAATATTATAATACATATATTAGTATTCAGCCAATGGTTCCGGTGGTGGAACAAGTCTTCTCGGATAAGGAC